AAAACCAAAACCAGCTCCTTTTCTTTCTCTCCTTTCTTTCCCTCAGATTTGCAACAATCGGCCAGGAAGCAGCACATCAAACTTAGACAAATATGTATTTTTACTGGAGGTTGAAATTCTGTGTGTGCTATGAAATCGTATTTGTCCAAGGTTAAAATCATCTCCTAAGTTAGGAGTTAGTTCCTTTTACAAAAGACCATCACTCAAGATGCTTCACTTCCCACCTTCCCAGTAAAGTTAGAACTCATTTTCCCCACCCGGGAGATTTTTGCTTGATCCTGAGAATTACTGCAGGATCAAGGGGAACATAATGAAATGCTAATGGTATTTACCGAGGGTAAACACTGGCAAGCTTAGGAGCCTCTGGCATGATTCATTTGCCTGACGGAGACAAGCCTATTTCTCTCACAAAAGTTTGCAAACCTAGCACAATCTGAAAGACAGTGGGGACAGGGATACTTCTTTTTAGATCAATCTTTTGATCTCCGGAAAACAATGTGTTCACTTTCCTGAGCCAAATTAAGAAGTTCTTGGTTGCCTTTAAACAGCAGTGGGCCTCAGAAGCTGTTCAGGGAGCGTTAAGCTCAGCTGGGCCCCTGTGTGGGAGAGAAGTTTTCCTAAGCAGATTATTAACAGGAAATTATTTGTCTGAGGTTCCAAATGGTCTTTCACCGCCAGGCCACAAAAATTCCTTATTTTTAAATGATCATCATGGGCAGAAATAACTAGAATATTCAGAAAATTCATTAGATAAATTCTAATTCTAGACCTCCCAAAGCGAAATTGACGGGCGCGGCTTTGGGGACCACAGTGTCCCCCAGTGTTGTTGACCTCTGGGCCCACTGGGCTTAGACAGTAGCCTCCAGCGCAAGGCTGGCACCCGGTAGGTCCAGAAACGCTGGATGGATTTAGGTGCCATGTGAGCTGATGGAAATTGGATGAAGTACGTCCCGTTACCTTTGAGAGATACGGTCACGCAGCACAGATGTAAGATGGAACACCTTGGCATTGGCATGTGAACCTGGCAAAGTTATGTAGCCTCCGTGGGCTTCAGTTTCCTCAGAGTAACGTAGCTTCTAAGTCTCTTTGAACCTTGAAAAGGTCATGGCAAAGGCTTCCCTCGTGTCACGGTGGAGCACAGGACCACTACAGACTGAAATGACCAGACATGGGTTCTAGTCCCGGCTTTGCCGCCAGTGAGGGAGCCCAGGGGCCCCCTTCAATCTGCAAAATGTTTTGGTGCCTCAGTTTCCTTTTCAGTAAAGTGGGGAGGACTTCTGTGAGAAATTACATCTGTAACAGAGGAAATATCTTTTACTCTGAAGGCTTGTAGAATGGGATCTGTATTACCAGTTTTAAGACTCGAGTGGGATTTTGGAATAAGGCCTCCTTAAATTCAGCTTAAGTAATTTTTTTTTTTTCGGAATGTTTACTTATTTTTGAGAGAGAGAGAGAGAGACAGAGCATGAGTGGGGAGGGGCAGAGAGAGAGGGAGACACAGAAACAGAAACAGAGAGAGAGGGAGACACAGAGCTGTCAGCACAGAGCCCGACGCGGGGCTCGAACCCACGAACCATGAGATCATGACCTGAGCCGAAGTCGGATGCTCAACCGACTGAGCCACCCAGATGCCCCAAAATTCAGCTTAAGTGTTATCAGGAAGGGATAGTAAGTGAGAATAATATTCTCAAGAGGCCATATTACGCACTACCAAGAAGTGCCTGTACTCTCAGACTTTCATTTGAGCATCTTATGTGCCTCATCACAGAGTGGGTCATCAGACCCAGAAAGGGCTTGGAGGCAGGCAGCTGAACTATTCTATTTTATGAAGTCTGACACTTGGTGATGTGTCCAACCACCTCTTGTTACTGTGTGTTCTTGAAATTTTATTCTCTTCCTTTTGGACCTGATCATCAGATGCCCAGAGGTGCTAGTGACAGTATCCCTGAAACAAACTGTTTCTCGGGAGGGTTGTACCAATTCTACACTTCCTCTAAGACGGTTGTAGCTTGTTAATTTCCCTACAACTGGACCGGCCTTGACTATTGACATTAGGCTGAATTTTGCTACTTGAATAAAAGAGCTACCACACTGGTCTTTTAATGGGCATTTGCTTCAATACATTGAATATATTTTTTTCAATGGTTGCTTACCAGTTGTTTGTTTTGGTCCTGAAATAGCTTTTTATATTCTCTATCTATTGGGGTGTTAATGGCTTTCAGCATCTTATTTAATAACATGCTTGGATTACTTTCCTAGGGGTGTCATAATAAATTGCCATGAACTGGGTGCCTGAATGCAACACCAATTTGTTCTCTCCCAGTTCCAGAGGCTGCAAGGCTGAATTAAGGTATCGGCAGAGCCACGCTGTCTGTGAGGGCCCTGGTGGACTTTCCTAACCTGCCTCTTCCAGCTTCTGCTTGTTGCTAGCAATCTTTGCTTCCCCTTGACTTGTAGACACATCGCTCCCACCCCTGCTTCCATCTTGACACAGCCTTCTCCCTGGTGTCTGTGTACAAATCCCTCTCTTCTTAGAAGGACACTGGCCATGTTAGGACCCACCCTAATCCATCATGACCTCATCTTAATTTTACTACATTTGTAAGGACCCTATTTTCTTTCCTATTTTTTTTTTAAATTTAAATTCAAGTTAGTTAACATACAATGTAGTCTTGGCTTCAGCAGGAGAACCCAGTGACTCATCTCTTACATATGACCCCCAGTGCTCATGCCAAAAAGTGCCCTCCTCCATGCCTGTCATCCATTCAGCCCCTCCCCCCACCCACCACCCCTCCAGCAACCCTCAGTTTGTTCTTATTTAAGAGTCTCTTATGGTTTGCCTCCTTCTCTGTTTTCATTCTCTTTTTGCTTCCCTTCCCCGTGTTCATCTGTTGAGATTCTCGAATTCCACACAAGAGTGAAATCACGTGTTATTTGTCTTTCTGTGACTGACTTATTTCACTCAGCATAATAGTGTAAGGACCCTATTTTTAAATAAGGTCTAAGGCATTATTAGGACTTAAACCCATTTTCTTTCGAGGGGTGGTACCTTTCAGCTCACAACAATACTGGAAAAGAAAGTATGGGTGGAAGGCTCTTCTGATGGGGAAAGAGCAGAAAACTGGCAAGTGAGTGACAGAATCTGAGGACAATCTGTGTAGGTTTATTACCATCTGTTACATCAAGGTAACGGAGAAAGTTATGTGTTTGAAATTTTAAACTGTTTGAATTTGAAAAACATATAAAGTAGGTCTCAAGATTTCAGTGCTTACTAACCACTGGAATTATAAACATCAACTCTGCCAGTCTGGTAAAGTAGAAAGCACATAGCTACATAGAGTCAAGCACTTGGGTGGCTTCCTGGTTCTGGGCTGCTTAGCTATGTGACTTGGAATCATTTGCTGAATTGACATCTATTCTTGTTGCGAAGTCGGTAACATCGAGCCTGATAAAGGGCTCGAACTCAGAAACTGAGATCGTAACCTGAGATGAAGTCAGACACTTAACCAACCGAGCCACCCGGGTGCCCCGAGGGCTTTTAATTCTAATCTGAGACTAATAACCTATGATTGCAAAGGCCATAATAAGTCAAGTCCATTTGCTTCTGTTTTCATGTCTTTGTTTGTAGGGGTAAATGGCTCTCCAGCTTTATGGTTACTAAACACAAACCTGATAGTTTAGGTTAAAGTTAGTTCATATTTAAAGCATTGTTATCCTTGAATACTGTGTTGGATTTGGGGAAGGTCTAGAACTCTGTCAGATGCTGAGATGCTCAGATAATCAATCCACACTTTGTTCTTTCCACAGGAAGAGAGGATATTTTCCAAATATAAAGGACTCATTGATGTTGGAAGTGAAACTAGTGATTCAACTATAGAATTTTCATCTTCAAAGCACTTTCTAAACAAGAGAGTTGGTGGGACCTGGGGTGAGAGATTCCGGAACCCAATACAAATAGGGTCAGATGTAGAAAGATCCAGAGTCAGCCTGTCTCTGCTGAGGTCAGATGTGCTTGTTGAAAAGTTTGGTTTTATGTGTATTTCTGTTTATGTGTAGGTCCTTGTGAAACGACTATCTGCGGTTTATTAAACATTCAGGACTAAAATTAAGCTAGGTATTGTTTGTGGATCTCTGCAGTTCACTGAAGTGAAAAAGCCAAAAATGATGGTATAATGAGGCAGTGGGCCCACAAAATCCGGGCTAATTTTCTAAGTTTTTTTACTGATAAGCTATTAAAGAGTTAATATAACATAATGAAGGTAGCCTCTGTTAGAACATGAATACTTCAGAGGTGCATGGCCGGCTCAGTCGGTAGAGCCTGTGACTCTCGATCTTGGGGTTGTGAGTTTGAGCCCCATGTTGGGTATAGAGATTGCTTAAAAAAAAAAAAAAATGAATACTTCATGAGGAAATGGTTTGAGTTCTTTTTATTTTTGCAGCCTTAGTGCCTTGTATACAGGTGGTATTTAATGGATGTTCGTTAAGCAGGTTACAAATAGGGCAGCCTATAAAAGTTTTATCTCACCAACTGTGGAGCCTCAGTTGGAGAAGAAAAAAGTGAACACCGTCGATTTTTTTTTTTTTTTTTTTTTCTAATTCCTGTGTTGCTTCAGGGACAATAATGTGTTGTGTCAGACCCAACTAACCACCAGTTTGGGGAAGTCTGGTATTTTCCTTGTCTTCAAAACTGTCCTCTAACTTGGGCTGGCACATGGAGTGTTAGGTCTTCACGTAGCTACTTACCCAACTGGCTCAGGCATCTCAGATGAACTTGGTAGAAACAACCCCTTAAAAACACTGTTTGCAAGAGTGAGCTAATTATGACTTAGAAATTCTACTCTGGATGTTCCAGCTTGTGTGTGATTATAAAAGGTAGACCAGGCAGTGTTTCCAATCCTCCCCCCCTTTTTTTTTTCGCTTTTTACCAAAAAAAATCCAGCAAGTTTTTTCCAGTTATGATTCACAGTCCTGGTCTTAGAGCAATTTTGACAGTGTTAATCATTTGTAGGGGATGCTTTTTTTAACCTTTATGTTAAACTAATTTTACACTGAAAAAGACGTGGTAAAAATAGTACAGAGTTCCTGTGTATCCTTCAACAGCTTCCCTAATGTTAACGTCTAACACAGCTACAGCACGATGACCCAAACCAGGATATTGACATTGATTCAACACTATTTTTACTAACCTGCAGGCTTTATTCAGAATTTACCATTTTTCCCACTCACGTCCTCTTTCTGGTCGAGGATCCAGTCCAACACCCCGCATTACACTCAGTTGTCAAACTAAAGTGTTTGCTCCAGACCATTCCCCTTCTTCAGTCTTTCTGTGTCTTTCATGACCTTGACACTCTCAAAGGGCACCAGCCAGTTATCCCCTCAATTTGGATTTCTCTGATGTTTCCTCACGTTAGGCGGAGGGTATGCATTTTGGGCAGAAATGCCACAGAAGGTACTGCGCCCTTCTCAGTATCTGTAAAAAAAATTCCACATTCACGTTTTGTGTGAGTGTGGGAATTTGCTCCTTAAAAGATAATTACTCCCTGAATGTATATATATACATGTATATGTATATGTATATGTATGTATGTGTGTGTGTGTGTATATATATATATATTCCCCCCCTCTGTATTTCTTAGGGATTTGGCATATATATCCCTCAACGACTTAGTTTGGAATCATGATCTATGGAAAGATCCCCTTTGAAGACCGTGCGTTTCCCTGCCTCTGGGGACATTGGGGAGAAGATGGAGTAGACATGCTTTCTCTTTACCCTGTTAGTAGATTCATCGTCAACCAGGGGCCTTTTGCTGCTGAGACAGCTGGCAGTCCGTTCCCAGGCTTTGACTGATTACAAACTGCTTCTTAGGTTGGGCTCATCCAGAAGCCGCTGAGACCACGATTTGAATCTAGGTCACTTATCTGGTGGCAGGGCGGCAGGAGAGGGAAGAAGACTGGGGCGCTTAATCTGCAGCCCCTAGCTGTCATCGCACGAGGGCTGCTCCCAGGGCACTTTTTTTCTGGTATTCTGGCCCATTCCAAACCCGAGAACACCTCCAGGTAGAGAGTCACTGGGACCTGCAGTAGAATGTCTAGAAAGTCCTTCATGTTTAAGGCAGTTGCAAGTGTCTAAAGATCTGGGAGGGATACTACGGTGCCCTTTCTGCCTTCCCCTTCTTGCTTGCTCTTTTTCCTCTCCGCATGTTCTCTAGTATTTAAAAAGCAAAATAAGACAAAAAAACAAATGTGGTAGATGGAATGAGGAGAGGAGGGGAGGGCATCAGAACGGAAGTGTTGTGTAGGTAACAATCCTCAGCACCCGGCAGTGCTATCTATCATTAATATGCTCTTACACTTATGAATCAGTTGGTGCTGGGTTCTATTTTTAAAAGACGAATGACCCGAGGCAGAAAAAGAAAAACAAAAAACGTGTTTTCTAAACTTAAAAAGCTGTTGTTTTCCAAGTTGTGGTCTTTCTTCCCAGGCTTTCGAACAGTGAGGCCAATTATAAAGAGAGATGTGTTGCCTGAGTGTGGGGATGTCCCAGTGGCACCCACACTTTGCTCAAAACACCCCACCAGATGAAAGCATAGAACACCCAACACGGGGGGGTTACTCTTTTCAGAAATGTTCTGGCAACTCGATGCCACATCTCGCAGTGGGACAGTCCCAGAAGTTCTGAAATGGCCCCCAAAAGTGGAGGAAGGGCTTAAAATGGGGGTCAGAAACATGGAGCTTCAATGCTTTGCTCTCTGGCCAGATGTCTTGAAGTAAGTTGTTTATCTGATTTCCTCACCCGTAAGATGGGAATAATCATACCTATTTCTTTTTTTTTTTTTTTTTAACGTTTATTAATTTATTGAGGCGGGGAGGGGCAGAGAGAGAGGGAGAGAGGACCCAAGCAGGCTCTGCACAGAGCCTGATGTGGGGCCCAATCTCATGAACCTGAGATCAAGAGTTGGACGCTCAACCGACTGAGCCACCAGGCATCCCAATCATACCTATTTCGTGTGGTGGCCCTGAAATTAGATAAGATCATGTCTGGTCCAGGCTCGGCCAGAAAAAGCTCTTAGCACACGGTGGGTGGGGGTGGGGAGGCAGCTTCTCACTGAATCTCAGACTTGTGTCATCCATGAGCCGTGAGTGCTGTATCCCAGGAGACCCTAATCCTAACCTTGTGAGGCCATTATTATTATCCTTATTTTGCAGAGTAGAAACTCGGTTCCCAGAGACATTGAGCCTCCTGCTTCTGGTCATATGACTGTCCGTGGGCGAGTTAGGATCTGAACCCACATCGGTCTGATTCCGTGATCCATTTTGCCACGTGTTTCCCATCCTTTGGGAACATCATACCAAGGTGAAGAGAGCAGATACCCACCTTCCTCCAACTTCTTCCCGCATCGAGATGGACAAATAAAGAATGCCTGTAAGCTCTACCTCCTAAGCCAAAAGGACAAGGGCACAGAACATGAACCATGTGACTCAGCACCGAGCCCCAGGTACGCTGCTGGGTGCTGCATGGAAGGCATCTTGTTTGACAAGGGTTGGGCACAGCAGGATGACCATCCTGTTCGGCTGCTTTACGGCACCAGCTGTGCCGGGCCAGCCCAGGAAGGCTTCGTTCCAGCATGGCTGAGTCGCTGGTGGAGGTCCCCTGGTCCCTGCAGGTGGCTGTGGTCCTGCCCCTCATTGGCACCTGCATGTGGCTCGCCGGTTGGCTGCAGCTGCCGCTGAGATCCTGTTCCCCGTTCCCAGGCTGGCCCTGGGTGTAGGCACAGAGACCGTGCTTCCAGGCTCCTTTGGCGGCAGTGTTTAGACGTCTCATGGATGACAAGCTGATTTCTGGCTCTTGGCCTTCCTGCCCTTGTCTCCCAGTTCCTGGCCGGAGCTGGCTTTCAGACTTAAGGTGCTGACCCCTCTCCTGAGAGCCTTCATTCCTGCCCACTTTTAGACTGACATTTTAACAGAGCTGTGACCTCACAGGAGATGAGGAGATGGGTGTCCTTTGGGTTGGGATGAGGTGGCAGAAAGTGGAGAGGAAAGGGGCAGTGTAAACATAGGCAGCGTTAAGCGTGCAGCCATTCGCCACAATGGGCCACTATTCAAAACCAGGCAAGTCAAAGGAGACCTGTGCCAGTCACCTTCTTCTCAGCTCGCGGCAATGCTGACATGACTCCAGTTTGGGTATTGGTGATGCCCGTGAAGAGAGAGTGTAGAAAGGCATGGATAGGTTACTTGATTAAAATGTATAAATCCTACTGCCTTGGAGGAATTTGATCTGTTAGAATGGCCACAAAATCCCGACTAACTGGACAATAGGTGGTGATCAGATTTCTTTTCTTCTCTTAATGGTATCAGGTAGGGCTGTCTCTGTAACAGCCATGGCATTGTAAAATAGCTTGAGGATTCCAGCCCAACACGGACTTTGCAGTCTTTGGACAATGTTTAAAGCATGTCCCTTCAGAGGCAAAGACTAATGTAGTCCCAAGAAGCTGACTATAGCATTCCTCTTACGGTGTTCTTGGTTAATTTGAGTACACAGAGGACGTAAGCCCAGTGAAATGTTAAGAGATGTAGAGAAAGCAATGCCAGGGCCCAGGAAGAAGAGTCAGAGGGTAGAGGCCAGCACCTGAAAAACAGCATTTGTATAGCTAGATTTGTGCTAGGAACAGAGAAAGACTGGGAGGTAGATACTTCCTATAATCCTTAATTTACAGGTCGGAGAAGAAAGGTATTAATAGCCTCGATGGGATTTGTTGCACTCTGGGGAGGAGTTGCCTAGTGAAAGTGAAAAGAAAGCCAGTGCATGCTGAAGAAAAGGGTGTTAAAGTACTGTGTGCTTTAATTTTTTTTTTTTTTTTTTTAACATTTACTTTTGAGAGACAGAGACAGACCACAGGTAGGGGAGGGGCAGAGAGAGGAGGAGACACAGAATCTGAAGCAGGCTCCAGGCTCCGAGCTGTCAGCACAGAGCCTGACGTGGGGCTCAAACTCACAAACTGAGATCATGAGCTGAGCCGAAGTCAGATGCCTAACTGACTGAGTCACCCCGGGAACCCCAGAGTACTGTGTGCTTTTAAAGACCAGTAGAATGTGGCTTTGCCTGTTATGTGACGTAGTCAAGAATACAGAAAGGAAAATGCTTAACGCAGTGAGAGTAGATACTTAATGTATCTAAGATGACTCAACCCATATTTCTGGAAGATGCTCCACTCATAGGTGGAGAAAAGTGTGCGTGAACAAAAACTAGAGAGCCACTAGATGTCAACTTGGTGGCGCTGGCCAGGAAGGTGTGAGCGGGACTAAGAAGGGAAAATCCTCCTGGACGGCATTGGCCAAGGCCTCACGGAAGAGAGAGAACGCTACGTGGTCCTGGAGGAGAGAAGGTCTTATGCTGGCGGAGCTGAGGAAGAGGATATTGCGGATGGGAGGAAGGAGACTGAACGGGCGGCGAGGGGTCGCTTTCTGGAGAGCCTTGGAGGCGAGGGGGGAAGAGTGGATCTGGAAGTCTTGGCAGATTGGGCAGGAGAGCAGCATGTGGGTTAATGGTATTTTAGGCAGTAACTATCCACACGAGGTTCAGGATAGGGGGAACCTCAGGCAGCAGACTTCGGTTACCCGGATCCCACTGACAAAGCCTGTCCTAATTCAGAAATGACGGCTAGGGATTCCAGCCAATTAAGTATGAACATTCCAGCCCCAGCAGCAAGGCCGTTCCTATTGTGGGCAGCAGCATCAGGTCCTTTAAACCCGACACAGTGAATCATCCGATTCCACCAACGCCCCTCGTCTTCATGCCAACCACGCATCCCTGTGCTCGTTAGTGTCGCTTTTAGTTTAAAGATGGGCACTGATAACTAAAATTGCTAAGGAGATACGTAACCAAGTAGTCCGTAGTTTTATCTCTATAGCCTTAATAAGAGAAGAAATAACACGTAAACTGGTGTGAGTGGACATAGAGGAATGTAGGCTATAAAAAATGTTCTCCTAGATGTCATTATAGAAAGTACAGAAATTTTTTAAATTGCCAAGAATTTTCTTTCAGTTGCCAGTAATTTTCTTGAAATGCCCCTGGGCATTTTTAAAACGCCGTGGTTATGTTACACATTCAGTTAGCATATCCCCTTGTATCTAGAGCCTTTTCCACTGTGGTTGGCAGTGTGCTAACGGTCCCCGTGCCCTCTACAACACCGTAGCGTAGCCATCCCACCAACGGGCTGGTATTTGTTTAACATTCCCCCTAATTTTGACTGTTTGTGCTATTTCCTCCCTTTTTTATCATTATTTTTTTACATTTATTTATTTTTGAGAGACACAGACCCAGCATGAGCGGGGGAGGGGCGGAGAGAGAGGGAGACACAGAACCTGAAGCAGACTCCAGGCTCTGAGCTGTCAGCACAGAGCCCGTCGCAGGGCTCGAACTCACAAACCACAAGATCATGACCTGAGCTGAAGTCGGATGCTCAACTGACTGAGCCACCCAGGCGCCCCTGTGCTAGTTCCTCCTTTAAGAGACCTTGTTCGGACATAAAATGGTTTCTTCCTAGAAAAACTATGTGTTCTACATGGAAATAAAGGGAGGGAAACTTTGGTGGTTCTTGATGGCTCTCAATAGACTCTTTTCCCTAGAGGCCTCTGGGTGAGTGTGTTATTTTCTAGAGGCTGTAATACCACACATTTTGGGGGTTAGTAGTTCCTGATTCATAAGATGATGTTTTTACCACGAAGAGTGTAATGTTTTCCCATGTAAAGTAAAAAGTGTGCTTCAGGAAGACTAGTCTGCTTAATGGGCATGGGGGTCGATGCCTTGATGTGTGACATTTCTAGTAATTTAGACTGAGCCCGAGGCAGCCCGACGGAGGTGGAACCATGGCTTGATTGCGCAACTTGGTCATGACGGTGTAGTATGGTCTGCTCTGGAAGGTGCTGTGTTTCTGTAAAGTGGTGTAGCTCAGTGCGACCGGCAAACAGGGAAAGAATGTTAATATGATGCAGAAGTTGTCCCAGTTCATGGAGATTCCAGAAGGCTAGGGTCTGGTGCCTCCGAGAGCAGCAGCCCCACGAGGGCCACATGCCTGCTCCACAGCCTCCTTCGTCGACTTCTTCTGTGCTCGGTTCTTTCAATCTGTGTGCCTTTTGCCCTTGTCCCCGTAACTCATCGGTGTCGACCCTTCCGCCCCTTCCGTGGAGCTACCCATTTCTTTAAATCGGAGTAAAATACCCGGAAGATAAAGTTTACCATCATGGTCATTTTCAAGCGAACAGTTCAGTGGCTTCAAGTACATTCACATTGTTGTCCAGCCCTCACCGCCACCCACCTCACCAGAACCCTTTCATCCTGCAAAACCGAAACCCCATATTCATTAGACAATAATTCCCCTTTGCTCCTGTGTCCAGTCCCTGGAAAATACCATTCTCCTTTGTGTCTCTATGGTTTTGACTACGGTAGGGGGCGCCTGGGGGGCTCAATCGGTTGAGCGTCTGACTTCGGCTCAGGTCATGATCTTGTGGTTTGTGGGTTCAAGCCCCGCGTCGGGCTCTTTGCTGGCAGCTCAGAGCCTGGAGCCTGCTTTGGATTCTGTGTCTCCCTCTCTCTCTGCCCCTCCCCTGCTCGCACTCTGTCTCTCTCTCTCTCTCAAAAATAAATAAACATAAAAAATTTTTTTTAATAATAAAAAAATGACTTTGACTACTGTAGCTCATGTAAGTGGGAATAGTACAGTATTTGACCTTCTGTGACCATCTGTTTCACTTAGCAAGATGTCCTCAACGCCCCTCCGTGTCGTAGCCCGTGTCAGCATGTTCTTACATTTTAAGGCTGAAGGATACTCCATTGTATGAATATATCACAGGGGACACTTGGGTTGCCTCCACCTCTTGGCTGCTGTGAATGACGCTGCTGTGAACCTGGGGGTAAGATATGTTTTCATTCTCCCCCATGTGTAAAGATGAAGTCCTCTGTTTTCTTTACTAGGAGCCTACCTTGCCGTTTTCACTGTATCAGTCCTTTTACTAGGGTCGTTACTATTTCCTTAGGGCTCTGGTGAGAAAGTTGCAAGGGTCTGAGTGGTCTGCCTCAGCCCTGCTTCTCCTTCGAACCCTGCCATCTTTTGTGCACAGTTGAAGAGAGCAAGAGAGGTGTTCGTTCAGAAATGCACGTCTGTGTCACGCCAGAGCCGAAAGGCTTATAGAGGCGAAAGGAAATAAGCTGGGGTGCAGCTGTGTGCTATGCCGCTTATTAACTACCTGGCAACCTTAGAAATGTAACCAAGCCCGGCTCTCTCCTCCGTAACGCCGGCCGCCAGTGCTCCTGGAGGAGTCGCTGACATGAGCCACCGAATCCAAGCACCTGGTCCTTACCTCACAGGGGTTCAAAACGCCATCATCTGTCACAAGACCCAGCAGAGGCTGCAAACCAGAGAGGGAACACGGTTGCAGAGTTGAGCTCTATAGGCGGTTGGCTCAGCCCTTCTCCTGTGCCCACACCTGTCTACTTCGTACGAAGGCTTGACCGACCGAACAAATTAGATAAGTAAAAAACGAGAACGTGATGCTCTGTTCTAACGTGAGTGTGCATACGGAGAGATCTGGAAAGTTCGTGGAGGCCAGGGAGGGGTGGATGGCAGGAAGGAGGGTCACAGCAGTTGCTGTCAGTTTGGGTAGAGCTGCTGGTTTAGTATTCATGGTTTCCAGGAGTGTCTCTACCATAAAGAAAGGCTCTCAGTGCACCGCAGAGGACTGTGTGATTCAGTGGTGCTGACTAGTCTTGCGGGAATGTAAACTCCGTCTACAAAGACGAAGGAGGATGAATGCTTGAATGCCGTATTTGACCACTTGGTAAAATCATTTGTGACTCAGGAAGTAGGGGGCTCAGAGACCCACAAAGGAGTCCAGGATTTTGGTTAAAGCTCACAATCCCAAGGGCCCAAGAAAGCTATCAGTCCAGTCCTCTGCACAGTTAGGCCTGAACAATCACCAAAATTGAGTTCTTGGGCTTTCTGCTTTATGGAAATATTAAAACAGAAGAGAAAAAGAGCCTCCTTTTTGGTTTTTTAATTATAGGACATAGAACATATAATGTCAGTGTTATCATATAAATAATATGTCCTGTAACTTAAAGTTACAAGTAGAACTTGCCAGAGAAAGGGGAACAATACCTAATTGTTAGGAAGGCAGACGAAGAGGACCGCTAGCCGAAACCGACCGTCTCTGCACCGAGGAGGAAGAGAGTGGGCTGAAAAGGGAGAAGGAAGAAAAGCACCAGAGGGACGGGATGTCACATCCTTGCCCTGTTGTGGTTTTCACATTACAGATCGGATCGGATCAGATCGCTAGAGTGTATCCGACTAGAGGAGTCACCCCTGGGTGAGTCTACCAGAACCCAAGAAGACAACAGCAGACAGAATAAAGAATATCAGAGTGGTTGCTCGAGCTAAGGGTCAGCATTGTTTGTAAATGTCTTCTCCGGGTGTCTGTGCTCCTGAAGGTGTTTACTGGATTATAATGTAAAGTACTTTTCTCGCTCTGGGTTGTGGGAGGAGTTTGAGAAACATTCTGACATTTTGCCTGTCTTCTGCTCCTGGACCTTCTTTCTCAGTCAGTGAAAGTTTGGGGTCTAAATTTGGCTACTGTTGCACTTGAAATAGATGGTCCCTGTTTGTCTCAGATGGTGGTGAATGTTCTACCGCTGTCACTACACAGGGATCGGGGATAGTCCCGTGGGTGCCCCACACTGCTGGTATGTCTGTCAGCTGTGGTATAAGGAAGCCTCCTGAAATAAAGCTAAAAACTTGGATTTGAATCTCAATTCAGCCATTTATCAGCCATGTGAAGATGGATATTGTTGCTTCAAAATCTCCCCAATCCAAGGCAATCTTTAATTCAATGAATGCTTACTGAATACCTACTGAATACAGACCATGATACTAGGCACCAGGAACTGAAGAAGCTTGCAGGCTGATGATGAAGATGAACACATAATCCTAAAAGAACTATGGAGGGGCGCCTGGGTGGCTCTGTTGGTTAAGCCTCCGACACTTGGTTTTGCGATCTTAACGGTCATGGGATCAAGCCCCAGGTCGGGCTCCTTGCTGGTCTTGGAGCCTGCTTGGGATTCTCCCTCTCCTCTCTCTCCCCCACTCATGCACATGCACTTGCACGTGTGCTCTCTCCCTCTCTCTCTCAAACTAAATAAATAAAAACTTTAAAAACTAAAAAATAAAATAACTGTGGGAGAGAGATGAGGGGATACTTAGTCCTGTAGGAATTAAGTATGTGGAAGGGTGGGATGTAGCGTGTGAACTGAGCCTTGAAGAAAGACTAGCTTTAAATTGCCGTGTGGAGAACTGCAGAGCTGGCTTTCCAGGCAGAGGGACCACCAGAAGTAGGTCAGAGGCATGGGGAGCACTCCCGAAGAGGAGTATGGCCCCAGGTAAGGCTGAGATTTCAGGTTAGACGAATGGTCAGGAGGTCGTGTCAGAAAATGGCCAGTGAATAGAAGCATAGGCTTTGAGAAGTTCCAGGCCCTTCCTTTGCTGAGCTGCCTCAGCTCTACAAGGCTTTCCATCTCCTCCTCTCTTTTCTACCACAGCTTCAGCCTCCCTGAACAGCCCACATTCCCTCCCCTCTCCAGCCCCAGCCCCAGGCACACCCCCTGGCTCCCGCACATCCCTTGGTTGGTATGCTACAGAACTCCCTTCCTGCCCGTCAGCTAGATAGCAGATTATTGCCTTGGTTACATTTTAGCTGTCTTCATTTAGCATCCGGAGCATTCAAATCCTATCCGGTGTCTCTGACTGGTACATTTTTACCCTTCCGTGGGACTCGGTTCAGGCAGGATTTCCTTTTTGAAGACTTTCCAGACTTGCCTTCCACCCCTGTATTCATTGGGATTCTCCAGAGAAACAGAATAAGATATAGATATAGAAATAGAGACAGGCAGACAGAGACAGAGAGAAGGAACCACTCATGTGGTAATGGGGACTGGCTGGTCCAAAGTGTGTGGGGCAGGCCGGCAGGCTGGGAACTAAGGCAAGGCTTCTACGTTGCAGTCTTGAGACCCAATTCCTTCTTCCTTCAGAAACTTCAATCTTTGCTCTTAATACTTTTGATTGGATGAGGCCCACCCACATTATGGAGAATAATCCGCTTTATTCAAAGTCTCCTGATTTAATCTTAAAAAGACCATCAAGGCCATATGGAGACTGGTGTCTAACCAAATAGCTGGATACCATGGCCCAGCCACTCTGACACATGAAATTAACCATCTTGACCTCACCCCCTGCCTGCTCCCATGTACACACTAAAGAACTGACAAGCTCTTGTCTGGGCTTTCACATATTTTAATCTATTCTGTCAGTAATCCTGGGAAGAGAGAATTCTCACTGTTTCACAGATGTTGACATTGCAGTTCACACAGGTTAAGAGACTCACCTCAAGTCCCAAAGTTCTGGAAACGGAAGCCGGGTCATGGCCCCCAGATTCTGGGTGCCTCCTGCTGCGGTAGGCAGTGTCTATGCTGTGGATGTGGTGAGGGGTCCTTCAGCAGAGGGGAGTCGCAGGATGTTCATACTGGGTATGCTGGGGCTCTGAAAGTGAAACACCTTGACTTGAACCCTCGCTCTGCCAAACACATGCAGCTGAGGACCTGGGGGGTGTGGGGGGGGGTCCTCTCTGTACCTTAGTTTCCCCATTCATAAAATGAAGATAATAGTAAAGTTTACCTAGTGTGGTTTTAATGGTGACATACACAACACAGTGCCTGGCGTGAAGTGATCAGGCAGCAGACAATAATAATGGCAGGAACAACAAGAACATTTAATCATTCACAATCAATATATTTGGAGAGAATGTAAATATTCATTTGTATACCTGAAAGTTCTGTCTCTGCCAGGGTTTCATAAAAAACATTTTGAGTTGTGGGAGGCTGGTGGAAAAGGAAGACGGTGAGCTCACATATAAACTAGACACGCACACAGATGTAAATAACCCAGAAAGGACCTGAAGCCTGGCGGAACACGCTCCATAACTAAAGGTAAAGAAAAGGTCACATCGAAGAGGGTAGGAAGGGCAGAGACACAGTGGGCACAAAACAGACTTGCGGGACCATCCATAGGAGGGACGGAGCAGTGGGCACAGAGAGGGAAAAGAAATAGACCCTCATACTGTGCAGCCTGCAGAGGGAAGACGAATCCCCTTAGCATTTGGCTTTGAAAACCAGGCGGGCCAAATTTTGTGAGTTCTTAGAACGAATGGGACTTAAAACCCGGAATTTTAAAACTCACAGGGCCAGGCTCTGGGAGACCTGGGAGGGCAAGAGGAAACTGAGTTCCCACCATTACAGAGACTGCACAAGAAACAGCCCCCAGAGATACAGCGTAGAAGCAGCAGTTAGAAAAACACCTACAGCTCACAGGAGGAAGAGTTATTTACTAATCTCAGAGTAGCTCAGGGACTTCTCCAGGAGCAAAAAAGCTGGCAGGCACCATTTCCCTCCCCAACCGTCCAGCAAAACACACTATAGTCACCTGCTGAAACCAACACTGCACTTCCTGGATTTGCTCCCTCCAGCCAGGCTGGCCTCAGTCCCTGTCCTACTAAAACTGCGTGTCCTGCCCCTGCACATGTTGTGAATCTGCTGCCTCCAATATACTCTTGGCTGGAGCCCATCGAAACCAGGGCCACAAGCCTGGCAGTTTGCAAGCAGCCCTGATACGGGCCAGGACCCCTCCAAAGTGACTCCTGCCTCAGGGAGAGGAGAAGATTACCAGACACCAGAGTCAGATGGAGGCTCAGCAGTGGGCTGGGGGCAGGTCTGATTACCAGACCCACCCACCAACAGAGGGAAAGTGCCCTACAGTTTGGTGCTACTACATCTCTGACAAATGCCTGGTTTGACTTAACTCAAGCTCAAGATGACCCCAGACTGGTCCACTACACCACAGGGACCAAACACTGTCCAGAACAGGGAAAGAAAGCAACTTCAGATGCTGGACTAAAGGAAAAAGCAGCCACAGTACCAGAGTGCACAGAAGCAACATGCATAGGAGACATCGCTGAAGTGCCAGGTTCTGGTAAACAGAGGATACTGCATGCAGGGCACTACAGGACCTCTTCTTCCATAAGGCCATTACTTTCCAGAGCAGAAGATGTAGCTGACTTTCCTAATGCACAGAGACAGACACAGAGAGTTAGACAAAATGAGGAGACAGAGGGATATGTCCCAAATAAAAGAATGGGACAAAATCATAGCAAGAGACCTAAGCAAAACAGAGATAAGTAATATGCCTGATGGAGAATTTAAAGTAATGATCAGAAAGATACTCACTGGACTTGAGAAGAGTGGAGAACATCAGGGAGACCCTTAATAAGTAGACAAAAAAACACATTAAATGAAATTGAAAATACAC